CGTTGCGCAGTTTCAAAGATTTAAGCATACAAAGGGACATAGGGACAGAGAAAGCGACTTTGTTTTATACTATGTAGTGAAGTTGTTTGTTTCCACTTGGAAATGTACTATATATACGCCGACTATATGAAAAATCCGCAATTACTTTTTGGGCAACCCAATATCAATACTATGTAGTGATGGAAGAAAAAGAGCAAGCAAACCATGTGCTATCATGTACCACTTCGAGCAAAGTCTATGAGAGATTAAAAAATATTTACGGCCAACAAAGTGGAGTTAAAGTTATGTGCCTTGATTAAGAGTGTTTCTCGCTTCGAATGCAGGAAGACGAATTAGTAGCAGAATAAGAATCGCAGGTATCGTCGTTAGCAACAGAAATAGAGGCACAAGGAGAAAGACTGTCTGACAACTTTGAAATGGTACGAGTTTTAATCAGTTTGCTACAAAAATATCAAAACCGTGTTGTGTAACATAAAAGAAGGAGGATCTTTAGAAAACTTGGTGGTAAAGTTAAATCTTGAATAGGACCAAATAAAACAGGCTGTAAGGCACAATTGACAGAGATCGCGCTCAATGCAAAGTCTGCAAATTTTAAAAGGTCATTCGGTCAAAGAAAGAGAACATCAAAATGTATTATTTATAATAAGGTTGGACATTGAGAGCGAAAATGTCGTAGAAAGAAAAAAACAAATGAAACAGAGAGATGAATGCAGCAGTCGTATAGAAAAGAACGGAGATTAAGTAGCATTTATTTTGTCAACGTCAGATGTTATGTTAGCTCCTTATGCTGATGTATGGATAGCAAGAGCATATGACTTTACGCAGAGATTGGTTCGCAGATTTACAGGCAACAGACCGTGTGCATTGTAAATAATGAGAAACTTCCGATAGAGAGGTTTCGGTAGAATAAAAGTATTGGCTCTTGCAAACAATAAATGGAGACCTCGTGTTTTCATGAACGTACAATATGTACCCCAGCAACGACAAAACCTATTCTCCACTAGTTCAGCAACAACAAAAGAGTTCTCGATGTTGATAGCATCCCAATATTGTATGTTGACAGACTAAAACAAAAAAAATTTTGGCATTGGGAAGCCGCGACTGTAAAAATCAATTTCGAATGATTTTCACACACAGAAGTAATTATGAACCTAACTCAGCAAAACTACATTCGCTACAACAATGACATCGCTGCCTTGAACACATAAATATAGCAACAATTAAAAACATGTGTGATAAACATTTGGCTGATGGTATTAACATAACTGACAAAAGTGATTTCTTTGTGATGACTGCAAACGCACGAAAAATGCATCGGTCATCACATAAGAGTGCAAAGAAACGGGATGCGAACAAATGCGAGTATTTTTATATGGATTTATACGGCCCAATGTTTGTAACTGGTATTTCCGGAGCACGTTATTTCATCTTGCTTAAGGACGAAAGCACATGTTTCAGGAATTTTTATTTTTTATGTAACAAATCTGATGTGCTTCAAAGACTGGCGAAACGGTGAAAAATATACGAACTGAGCTCATTAATAAAGACGTTGATGAGTTGCTGGCGAATAATGGAATTGTTCTGGAGAAAATTTTACCATACTCTCCGGAGCAAAACGGTATCATTGAAAGAGAAAATAGGACGGTTCAGAAATCTGTTTTTACCATGTTATTAGCAAGCGGTCTAAATAAATTTTTATGGCTGGAAGCCGTAAGAACTGCAGTACATATACTGAATAGTTTTGGATTGGGAAATAAATTAAAAACAACATTCGAAAGCTGTAGTGCAATTCTGTAACTGTTATCGACGCGATTCGTCGGATCGCAAACTTGTGATTATGCGATTCTCTAACTCAGTTTTCACGCTAAGCGACAACGCACATTTTAATTTTATTAAAATGAAGGAAGGCTGCCACCAGAGCTTCGAGCATAATCAAACATGTGACTTAGTCGAAAAATCAAGGGGTAAGAATATTGTGGTCTGCAAATGGGTGTTTAAAATTAAATCAAATCCAACTTAGAAGCCAGTTTTTAAAGCACATTTAGTGGCTAATATTTATTCGCAAAAACCTGGTATGGACTATAAAGAGATCTACGAGGTATGTTCAAAAAGTATCGCGAGTTTTGAACCTTCGCGGGCTACGTATAATCAAATTTCAATTTTTTTGTGGCGTTATGTTTGTACTCATGTCTGTCACTTATGCCGACAAGCTCGGCCATTTTGAATGTTCACTTAATTGTTGACAGCTGCTTTGCTTGCACGTGTTTTGGATGGTCTTCGATTTTTACCTATTCAGAAAAATGGATCAAAGAACCTGTATAAAATTTTATGTGAAAAACGAAATTGAGTGCGCGGATGCATTCCGAATGTTGATTGTGGCATACGGAGAAGCTACCTTAGACCGAAACAACGTTTATCGGTGGTACAAAATGTTCTCAGAAGGCCGAGAAGATGTGAACGACGAGCACTTCAACAACAGACGGAAAATTTAATTGTAGGGGCGTGGTGCATCATGAGTTCTTTCCACAGGGTAGAACGGTCAATAAGGTATATCACCTGCAAGTTATGCGCAATTTCCGAGAAGCAATCCGCCAGAAACGCCCGGATTTGTGGAAGATCAAAAATTGGCTTTTGCACCATGATAACGCCCCCGCTCACACATCGTTGGTTATGCGCGACTTTTTGACCAAAAACAACACACTAATGACGCCGCAGACACCGTATTCCCCAGATCTGGCCCCCTGTGACTTTTTCTTGTTCCCTAAACTGAAGAGGCCCACGAAAGGACGACGTTACGCTACGATTGATTAGATAAATACGGCATCGAAGGAGGAGCTGAACAAGATAAAAATGATTTTTTTCAGTGCTTCGAAGATTGGAAAAACCGTTGGCTCAAGTGTCATGGGGATTACTTTGAAGG